TGGCCCTTCCCTTCCCTTGGGAGCTTACGGGATATCTTCTGAGGCAAGGGCCCCCCCACAGCTCATTCCTCTGCGGCGGCGCCTACGCGCCATCAAACGCCTTGACCCAAAACTTCAGTTCCACGTCCTAAGAGAGGGCCTCGGGAGGCCCCGCTGCCAGCGGGCGCAGCGTCTCTTGAAGAGAGGTTTGCCTCGGGCTGTCCAGCCCTGCGCAGTTCGTTCCCTCAGCCCCTTGTCTTGTTCTTTGGCTGCTGTCTGGGAGGTCACTGCGTTTAAGAGGTCCGATGAGGGTCTCCGTTATCTCATGGCTTGGGGGTCCCCGGGTTGTTTGTGTGTTGTGGCTAGGGGATCCCCAGTCGGTGTCGGCGCGGTGCCCGTTCTTCTTGCAGCAGCTGAAGCCTCGCTTGCGGCTATGGAAGAAAGCCCTGACGGCGGAGGAGCTGCCGCCTCCCTTGTATCCCGAGGTAAGCCCTAGCCGAGAGATGCTGACACACCAGAGACTGGGTGCAGGGACGGGGAAGACGGGTTGGCTTTAAAAGGGTTGCTTTACATCTGTTCCTCACCCCGAACTGTGTGCTGCATGCAACGGCCTTCCGCCCTTGGCTGATGGCAGCCTCTGAAGGCCCGAGGAGGCGTCTGAAGGAACGGATAGGGGTCCATGATTCGGGGCAGCTGGGCATGGGAGAGGCAAGCGGAGAGTATGTTTTAGTGGTGGGGTTGCGCTTGTGCAGGTGGCGTTTGCGGGCCGGTCAAATGCTGGGAAGAGTACTTTGCTCAATGAACTATGTGGGCGCAGCGGCACCGCCGCGGTTTCCCGACGGCCAGGCAGCACCCAAGAGCTTTTTTTCTTCAAGGTGAGTCGGCCTACGCCATTCAGTCACGTATTCGCTGCCTGACTCAGCTTGCTTGTTCAGCCTCGAGCTGCTGAACCAGCGAATNGCCATTCAGTCACGTATTCGCTGCCTGACTCAGCTTGCTTGTTCAGCCTCGAGCTGCTGAACCAGCGAATATGTAAGAGAGGGGGAGGGTTGAGACGGAGAGAGACACAGACTGAAGGAGCGGGAGACGGGCAATGTGACGCTTCGCCGACAGAGGAGAAGGGAGCAGGAGGAACACCGAAGACACAGAGGAAGCCACACGCGCAGGCAGAAGACGGTGTTCCATGCACAGAGAGATATAACAACAGCGATAAGGGTATGTAGGGTTCTGTGCAGGACTGAAAGAAGGACAGATCCCCGTCATGTGCGTCTCAGGCGGGATCACCGTGTTGTTTGTGTCTCGTGGACCTTCCGGGCTACGGCTATGCTGAGGCGGACGCTGCGAAGAGGCTGCAGTGGACAGAAATGTCTCTCTTCTACCTCAAGTCTCGCCCGTACGTCTACGCCGGCCCTCTTTCTTAGGGTCTCCATGTGTTTGCGCACACAGTATCATTCACCACAGCTGCTTGCCTAGCCACAAACACGCATTTTGCCTCGCTGAAGGCTTGCAGCGGCCCAAGGAGGCCCTGAGACAGGTTCACACATGGGATGTTGCCGCCAGAGAACGAACTGTTTGCTGCTCTCGTTGCTGCTGCTGCGGTTGCCTTTTTCCAGGAATCTCAAGCGTGTCTTCCTGCTCATAGATGCGCGTTGGGGACTAAAGGCAAGCGATGTTTGTCTGTTGTCTTTCTTCGAGCGGCACCGAATCCCTTTCCAGCTCGTACTGACAAAGGCTGACCTTCCGGAGCAGAAGTCGCTCATCAAGATTCTACAGATCGTATGTTTCCGACAGTCCCCGCTCCCTGAAGTCTCAAGTGCAGCTCACAGCTCCAGCCTTTGCCTCCATGTCCGTCACTCAATGCCTTACCGGAGAAGCGACTGGCTCGTCTGCTGCCGCTTGGCAGCTCTATTTGTTTCCTTCTAGGCCTTGTGGCCTGGAGGCAAGGCAGTGATGAAGGATGCGTGAGGCGCTTGGGGACTGGATCTCTGGCGCTGCAGGTTTCAGAAGAAGTCAAGAAGTTCAAGGGATGTGCAGGCCCTCCCTTGCCTGTCAGCGCACTGCGCCACAGAGGCTTGGAGCCTCTTCGTGCGGAGATAGAGAAGCTCCGGCTGTCAAAGGAACTTGTCATTGGCAGACTCCGCCTCAAGGCGAGCAAAAAAAAAGGGGGATTTCATGGGTGTCCCTGTTCGCTGCGGACTCTTCCCTGTTGTCTCGTTGCTTGCGTGCCATCCACAGAAATTCCTTTTTAGCACAACTAGGCTGCAGAGCATTTAACTCCAGTACGGCGGCTGCTAGGTGGGCGTACCACCGCACGCAATTGGAAGCGGGTGGGGTTGTGTTTTGTTTGCATCATGCAGGCGGCTAATTTGGCAGAGGCAAGGCGCTTAAAGAAGGAGGCCCGTAAAAGGGAGAAGGCTATGAGCTCCTCTTCGACAGCTGAACAGAAGAAGACAAAGACTAAACCAGGGCCAGCAACTACTGCGGCCCCAGGCGTACCTCAGGAACAGCCGCAACAACAGCAGCAGCAGCAGCAGGCGCAAGCGCTAGACGACCCTGTCGCGCGAGCTCTCGAACGTTGGGGAGCCCCGCTTGCCAGCACCGCCTCCGCGCCACCGAACCGGGGACAGACCCAAAGGGAAGGTGACGTAGCTGGTGATAAGTTTTACGGGAGTGCTGCAACCGAAGCCCCCACAGCTGAGAATAAAGGAAATCTGAAGTGCGAACCACGGAGGCTCATGTCCGTCTCTCCTCAGGCTGCAGGGGGAGCAGACGCATTGGTTGAAGCCGAGTTCGTGGCAGAAGAGGTTTCAGTGCTCAGGGAGAACTCATTGAGCTCGGCGCTCGCCGAAGCCGTGGATAGAGCTGAAGGAGAGTTGCCATTGCCAGATATGTCATGCGCCGAAGCCCTTATAAGGGATTTGCTGCCCCCTCCTTCTTGCCGGACTTGGCAAGCATGCGAGTCTACAGAGCCTAAGCGCGAGCCACCTGCACAGGCTTTTTCCGAGAGATCTGCGAACGAGACGAACACGGATGCCGCTCGCCCGTCTTTGCGCTTCCCAGATGCCTTGCATTCGCCTTCTCTGCGCGAGGTGACAAGTTCTGTGCACAGAGCGGAACCCGCCGACCCCGGTTGGGTTGCCCCGGTGTTTCGAGAGGTTTGTCTTGACTCCTCAGGCGCTGCTCGTAGCTCGGCGGTGTTGCAAGGCTGCGGGCCCCAGGGAGCGGGTTTCAAGGGCCACGGCGATTGCAACACCTTCCTACAGGCTCCTGATCCATCGAGTGATGCAAGTTCCTTGGCGGCTCAATACTCGAGACAGGAAGAAGCACATCTGCAGCTGTCCGGGGATGAGAGCCCCTGTGCAGCAGTGCAAGATGGCCTATGGGAGGATCCAACTCGGCCCGCCAGCAAACGGCCACTGGATCTCCTCCGTGCAAAGGACTGGCGAGCGCGACGTGTTGGTCGGGCCGCTGTGGAAATTGACATGGGGCTGCCTGAAACAAAAGACGCAGCGGGCAACATAGCGACGCTCCGCATGGGGTCATGCAACAATGATGACACGGCTTGTACACCAGGGATGTCGCCATGCCTGTCCCAAGCGGGCGAAGTATTGTCAGCTGACTTTGAAGGAGGGTCAGGGACCCTTCCAGACTTGAGTGCTGTTCTCACCGCCAAGAAGCAGCAGCAGCAGCGGCAGCCCAATGCCCGCAGGCGCCAAGACGCCGACTTTAGGGGGTTGCCACCCAGNAGCAGCAGCAGCAGCGGCAGCCCAATGCCCGCAGGCGCCAAGACGCCGACTTTAGGGGGTTGCCACCCAGGGCGCCCTTAGGTGGTGCTATCTTTCTTGATGAAGAAGCGCTTGCGGCTGAAGACCTCGGGGGCAGCGCAACGCGAGCGAGGGGTCGCATTGGGAGCGCTCCAGACCCAGCTAACTATACGGGAGCCCACGAGCTTGACATGCAGCGCAGCTTTGACCAGAAATGGCGGCACGAGCTCTTGCCAGTCGGTGCGTCTCCTCAGTTGACTTCTAGCCCCTCTCATGGTCTCTCCACCCCTTTCTACAGGCAGTGGCTGTCAAAATGCAGCCCAGTGGCGGTGCTTGTGATCGTCTTTGCGTTTTCTAGGCGGCGCGTCCCAGGCCAGCAAACTGGGCGGCAGCAAAACTTTAGAGCGACCAGGCGCTGGCGGTGCCCAGCGGACCAAGATGGGTAAGCCTTTAGTGGACGTCCGAACGACGCCTTCTTGCCTTAGCGTAACCCATCCCTTTCTCTCCTTGAGTTGGGCTCCGCCGTGCCGCTTGTTCAAGTTTCCACAGACTGCGGTGTAGGCATTTTTGGCACCACGTTAGAGCGGCGTCCAGTGCGTCTCATTGACCTGCTGTTGATGCGTCTTGCAGGACGGTCAAACCCTTTTCGCATTCCTGAAGATTACATATGTACTAACGAAGATCGCACCAAGGCGACAACGAAGCGCCTGGCTCTGGAGATTCGCCTGCAGCGTGCCCAAGAGGCCCACCGACCAACAGATGGCTCCCAAGCCTCTGAGGAAAGGAACCGCAGCACTGCCGACTCGCTCTTGTTCTCTGCGGCGCAGCGGCGCCAGGAACGCCGACTGAAAGAGCTCGCGAAGAAAAGTAACAAGGGGAAGGGCCGTTCAAAGGAAATGACTTGGGACGTTGCCTACAGAAAATGGGCTCGGTGGGCAAGAGCGCATCCAGCTCTCGCCAGGTGAGTGCAGCCACACGATCCATCGAAATACATGAGCCCCTGCCTGTGTCGGTGCTTATTGTTCCGGCCTCTTAGGCGCCAGGAAGAGTTAGGATCTTGTAGACAGCCCCATGCCGCCCCAAGCTCACGGTGGTTTATATGGCATGTGATGATGNAGAGTTAGGATCTTGTAGACAGCCCCATGCCGCCCCAAGCTCACGGTGGTTTATATGGCATGTGATGATGATGTTGAGAAAGATCGTTTGGGCTGTGGCATCTGAATACGTATTTTTCATGTGTGTTTGCTGCTTAGGGAAGCACCACGGCCTTCGAAGGCGCAGCTCCTTGCAGATTTTAGGTGGGTCAGCATGACTTCATAGATAGTGTTTGACAGAGTTGAGCGATTGTCGTCGTTCGTATTAAAGAGCATAAGGAGTGAAGCGTGCTGCGCTCGCATATTGGGAGCTGTTCTTGCCTGCTCAGTCCTCAGATTGGCTGGTTTCAGCAGAGAATGTTAGCGTAGGTTCGGCATTCACCACGAGGCTTAATTCCTTGTTCCCCCTGTGTCACCTGCCCTACCTTTCATTGTTCGGCAGGCAAAAACTAGAGAAAAAGGCGAACCGGCGACGCAAGGAGCTGCAACAGCGAAACTCGGTGGCGCAGCCGGAAGTAGCAGGAGGCCGGCGCACAGTTCGCCAAAGCATAGAAGAAATCCGCAAAGAAGCTCGGGAAGCAGCTCTACAGCAACCCCGTCGCTGATAGCTACAACTCCTCCGTAGCTATGACGCTGCAGCCGCATGCCTTGTACTGCATGTTGCAGCTGTTGGTGTTGCTGCCTGTCACTCTGCCCACGTCCTAAACGCAGAAACCAAAACGCCTTTGCGCCACGCGCCTAATGGCGAGTAGCGTCAGGTAGAATTTAGGCTGGCTCTTTTCCAATATATGATATGTGAAACTGTGCAGTAGGCTCACATACTAGGGTGGTAGTCTCAGGTAGGTTTTTTCCCAAATTCTAGCAACCTACGCAAAATGTGCTGACACGTGTGCTGAGACAACTGCTGAGCCTAAGGGATTGACGTGTGCTGAGCCTAAGGGAGTGACCCGTTTTCAGAAAGAGGCTACTTCTCCTGTTTGGTATCAAATACACGCCTTAAAAGTTGAAGAGCTGGGCCGTCGCTCCGAATGGAATCGAGCCAGCTAACCCACCAAGCAGCGCAGACGGTGTATAACCGTGCTGATGCAACTAAGACACTTATCCACCTCACTTCAAAGACCCGCATGGTCTCTGTTAAAAGTCATGTGCATAATTGTTGTCTGTTTTGGAACGAACTGCCCCAGGTCGCTACGCTGCCCATCAGGTTAGTCGTCACTTTTGACGGCCCCCAAATGAAGTCATTTGCGGTGCCTACGGTTTCCGCGTCACACTNAGGTTAGTCGTCACTTTTGACGGCCCCCAAATGAAGTCATTTGCGGTGCCTACGGTTTCCGCGTCACACTGCCCGCAGAGAAACGGAGCAGGGTGGCTCTTACCAGAGTAGCGAGCAGCAGTAGCCACAACAGATCGAGTGTCTGACTCAGCTCCTCGAGGGGGAGCTGTGGTGTACAAATACGTACACACTCTCAAAACACGGGAATCTGGCGTCCTTTTACTGCCAGACGGACTGGAGAAGAGCACGAAAGGAACCTTGAGGACAGTCATTTATGCGGAAGCCGCATTCACGGAGTCTTCGCCATGGGCCTCCTTTAAGGCTTTCACGATCTCCTCCGATATGGCGACGTGGGAATCCGAAGGCACCTCCGAGCCGTCCAGACCTGTGACGCGCACCCTGGAAATATTGCATGTGGGGGCAGGGAAGCTATGCATGCGCGTTTCGAAGCCACCAACGCTGCTTTCCGCATTGACAATGATGTGGCCCTGGCCGCCGAACAAGGAGAAGAGCACGACCAGTTCACCTCCCTCTGGGCGCATGCTCTGGTTGGCCGGAAGTGTGGTGGGTTGTCCACTCCCCAAATGTGCCGTCACTGCATTGTCGGCAAAGTTCACGTCAACCTTCACACAGTCGACGAGATCTACAGACACCTTGGATGGAGACGTGGGCGTTGAAAACTTGATTGA